CTCTCTCTCTCTCTCTCTCTCTCTCTCTCTCTCTCTCTCTCTCTCTCTCTCTCTCTCTCTCTCTCTCTCTCTCTCTCTCTCACCCCACATCCAACTCTGCTACCCCCGGCTCCTCCCACTGCACCTTTCCCACAGTGCTCCCGTTTCACACCGGCCCGACCGTCTCGCGCCGCTTGGCCTGCGCACCCGCCCGCGTCAGCCTGCTGCAGCTGCTCGGCCTTGTGTACCTCCGTCGGCCCGTTCCCCCCTGGCCCCGGCTCCTCCTGCGTCAGCCTGCTGCAGCTGCTCGGCCGTGTGTACCTCCGTCGGCCCATTCCCCCCTGGCCCGGGCTCCTCCCCTGCGTCCTCTGGTTTCGCACCGGCTGCGCCGCTTCGCACCATTTCGGCAACCGCGGCCTGTCAGCTCGTTCCCCCCTGCCCCCAGCTCCTCCCCCCCCCCTGCCTCGCACCATTTCAATCTGGGGTCGGTCAGTTCAGACTTCAAAGACTATATCTCAAGGCTGTCGCCCTTTTAAAGAAAAAAAAGGTTCAGGGTGGTGTAATGATTTGTCTGCGCTCTCGTGTCGACATGGGTGGGTTGACTTCTCCTTGTGTGTGTTAATAAACTAAGGACAGTAAGGAAGGAGAAAATTTGCCTGAAAAAATGCACAAACAGGGGCGCATTTGACAAAGGAAAATTAGGGGTTGATGAAAAAAATAGGGGTTGACTTCATCTTGTGTGTGTGAATAAACTAAGGAGGGAAAAAATTTGGCTGAAAAAATGCACAAACAGGGGCACACATTTGACAAACGAAAATTAGGGGTTGACTTCACTTTGTGTGTGTGAATAAACTAAGGAAGGAGAAACGAAAATTAGGGGTTGACTTCACTTCGTGTGTGTGAATAAACTAAGGAAGGAGAAAAGTTTGCCTGAAAAGGAGATGCACAAACAGGGACACACAATTGGCAAAAGAAAATTAGGGTATAAGAGGAGGGAGAGACGAGGGGGTAACTGCATGCCTGCATCCCAAGGAGGACGACAAACCGAGGCAAAATTGGGAGGCAAAAAAGCGTGTACCTGCAGCCCGAAGAAGACGACAGTCGTAATCCCAAGCCAGCTATGGAGGCTGTACAAGTTGTCGATCGGAGGCGTACTGAGATCGTGAAACCGGAAGGCTGAAATAACTCCCACGATAGCCAAGATTAACGCAACCCCGTGTATGCTCAAATGAGCCAGCTTTCGAAACGGCTTCGTACCCGGAAGAGTTCGGTACACGAGAATAGCTGGTAGGGGCAGGGGGGAGGGGAAGGGGAGGGGAAGGGTAGAGGAAGGGGAGGGGAGAGGAAGAGAAGGCGCCACAAAACAGGTAAAAAGCATGAGAAAAAACACAGAGAGACAAAAAGAAAAGAAAAGGCCAAACAACAGGGAAACAATTTCCAGGTAATGACCACTACCACACTAGGAAGATTGTCACACCCGGCCGGGCACCCGGTTGTGATGCCCGGGGGGTCTGACGCCTGGGATACCCAGGCGTGAAAAGAAGAAAAAAAAAGTTTCTTTTTTTTTCTGAACTTTTCTGCTCTCTCCCTGAGGACCCCAAATCCGGTCTCTTTTCTTGTTTTGAAAGTTGACTGTCAAGGGGGGGGGGGAGGAAAGGGGGGTATAAATTGGTTTTAAGAGGGCTAAAGGGGTTTAATGGAGGGTGCCTAAGTGTGATTCTGTTATTTTCTTTTTATCTCCGATTCTGTGAGGAATTCTGATGTGACCCTCAGCCAAAAGTCGGTTGTATTGCAATTCTACACAACATTTTTTTGCCCGGATTTTATTATTATTATTATTATTTGGCTATGGGGCTGCCTGGAACCCTGCCCGGGGGCCATGCCCAGCCAGGCACCCAGGCATATACCTGGGCACAAGTTGGGTGCCCGGGCGCCCGGGAAAACAGCCTAGCTATCACACCAAAACAATACCCAACAAGCAATTAGCCTTGCTCCACTACTCAACATTCCACGCATTTGGACTGTTTCTGGACCAGGTGCATCCAGACGAGTCCAACACTTCAAATGTATCAGGACAAATATGAGCTCCAGATACGTATAGCATGTTGTGGAGTGGAGTGAAGTCCAATATCCAGACGATGTGCATATAATACCCACGCAATATCTAAACAATATATACACCATACTTGCGGCGCATCAACGTGCGCTGCACCTCGCACACGCGCCGCACCACGCACAGCACATGACACGCGCGCACTGGGTGCGACGCACCCCGAAAATAAGGGGTTGAGAAAAGGGGAAAAAAAGCTGAGGAGGGGTGTTTTAGGCCCGAGTGGGATGTTGCGTCATAAACTACAAAAATTTGAGGCCGCGCGGGCCCCCGAAAAAAAAAAGGGGCGAAGTCAGTTTTTTTGTTTTTTTGTGTGTGTGTGCGTGTATGTGTGTGTGTGTGTGTTGTGTGTGTGTGTGTGTGTGTGTGTGTGTGTGTGTGTGTGTACGTGTGTGTGTGAGAGAGAGAGGGAGAGAGTGAGAGAGATGGC